TAAGCAAGGACTAGTTAGTTTTAGGTGTTAGTTGTGACACATTTATACTTTACACGTGAATAAACTATATAACAAGTTATATATCATACAGACTATACAGACAGTTCATTCAAGTTTCCTCTGAGATGGCATAGAAAAAATGAAAAGCATAAAAGCACCATCAAATAATTATCTGGGCTGGCCAACCACTACTGGTATTGTAGTACTAGTAAGTCAAAGCCAAGTTTGACCTCAATTATGAGCCAGTTTCATAGAAATTAAACTCTGGCTACGAAAGTAACCCAAAATCTAACACCCTGGTCATTGGCCTTGCAAATGGATGCCAACGGTAATGAGGATTTGGGGGGTGTAGTGGTGGGGGAGAGCTCCATTTAACCCATATGGCTACTCAGAGTAGGAACAGCTTGATTTCCACTGATACTGGGCACACACACAGAGAACACACATATTAACACTCATGTTCTTCAAGCCTGAAGGAGTTGGTTTCAACATCCATCTGAATCTACCTCTGGAGGAGTGTAACTAGGACGGTCATAAAATGGAATCAATTAGTGCCCAACAGAATCTCAGATGGAATTTAAGAAAACCAATCATGTTCCTGCCTTAAGGAACTTGTGTCTCTTGGAAATTTGTGATGAGTGCATGCTCTGGGTTGATGTTTGGAAGGACAACTTCTTCCACAAAATGGGAAATACTCCCAAGACACACACTTCAGGTTCTAGACTTTAAATGTAGCTGTACTGTTAATAGCCAGGGAGGTAACAGGGAAGGTGGTTCAGTCCTGGGGGCTGGGGATCAGAGCTGACATGCATTGTGTGTCTTGAATACAGAGCTGGCAGATCAAACAAAATTACTAGGCCATTGTCCCTCCAACTCACCCTTGCTTGGGAGATAGAGTATCATTTTCTTAGTCACTGTGTGAGCAGCTGATAGGCTGTTTCAAAAAGTGAAATATCCTGATATCCAGGAGAGTCAAAATGGCCTGATTTGGTAAGGCGGTTCTTGAGTTTTAAGTTCATTTCAAATAATTTAAGTTCAAAAACCTCGATGCTAAGAAGGTTCATAAACATTATTATGCCTTTATCCTTCCTGTAAATACATAGTTCTGGATTGTTCACTGCAATAATGAAAAACAAGACTGAATTTAAGCTCTTAAGAATTTCCTTTTAGACATTATGAACAAAGGACAGCCCAGTTCTTCCCAGACTCCCTCTGGGTGTAGAAGTTACCAGGAACAGCATCTTCATTAATATCTAGTGAGCATCCCATCAGTGCCTGCTTGTAATAGAGATTGTCTCCTTTTTAAATTTGGTCCCTCTGCTGTTAAATAATTTGCCTGGTATAAAACAAAACAAAACAAAAACAAAAAAAAAACAAGAACAGAGCATAAAGGATGAGGATAGCTTTGCTGAATGAGGCAATAGGAGTCCTGACCTCCCTCCCTGCTTTTGCAGTTCTGCAAAGACTCAATGAACAGCACCAGACCCAACCAAAATTTTCAAGTCACCAGGGCTGCTGCAAAGCCAGGAGCTTAACAACCAGTGAATGCTTTTTCACCCCCTGCGCCAGAGGCACAAAAGAAGACACACATTAATTATGTGAGAAAGGGAAGGATGGAAGAGAAGCATGTCTTCTACTCAGGGCAAGACAAACCATGGGAGGGCAGGCTGGGGGCTTCCCAGACAGAGAAAAGCTCCAAAGGGGCGGACCCACAGCGATTCTAATCCTGAAAGTCATTAGAAGCCATCTGAGAAAGTGGGGCATTTAGCCTATCAAGTTCATCCACTTGAGGTGGGTGATGCATTAGTATCTCCTGGTCCTCTGAGACATCCTCCCCAGCAGCTACCAGATTAGTGAGGGATTTGCTTCGAACACACTGGAAATCTACATGGCGACTCTTTCCTTCTTCCTTTTCCCATGACATCTGGATAAAGGGGCGCTGTACATAATTGTAGATGACTTCAGACCGGCCACCAGGTCGCCTCTTAATTTTTTCTTTACAGGTGGGGTAACCTGAAAGAGAGGAAAAGGCCATCCAGAAATTGCTCATTCTGGTTTACATACTTCCTCCTTCCTGACTACATCAATTTCCTCCCAAATCCAAAGACTAGTCATAAAAACTACCAGGGAAGGGACTAGTCCTTGACCATGCCCTATAAGCCCCAAGCACCAACATACTCATTTCCCTCCTACTCAGGTTAGTAGGTCTTGTTCTTAGAAGGGAAGTAACAAAAATTCTGTCCCTTCTACTTTCTGAAGCCTTTATAGTATAGGCAGCAATATTATAGAGCAAAAATTCAGCCAGGGTACAGCTACTCCACTCCTCTAACGCTTAGAGGGCACACTATATGAGTGTGGCTGGAGAAGTGTGGAACATTTAGTCAAAAGAAAAAATAGGGGAGCCTCCCCTGGTGGCACAGTGGTTGAGCGCTGGGCTGCGAAGCTGCCTGCAGCCTCTGCAGCGCCAGTTCTATCCCCGGCCGCCGGCGAGGATCTCACATGGAGCGGCAGACCTCTCCTGCAGCCCGCTGCTCCCCTCAGCAGTGTATTTCATCAGTCTGCCTGTTCTGCTCTCTGCTCTGACTCTGGTGAATTCTCTCACCCTCCCGCGCTTCTGACTGTACCCAGTGCTTATATAAATAAATAAAAATCTTTAAAAAAAAAAAAAAAAAGAAAAAACGGGGATGCTGTCTCAAGTACTGAAAGGCTGTCACATGGAAATGGGAGGAGCAACCCACATGGCAGGCAGACCTCTCCTGTCTCACCTGCTGCTCCCCTCAGCAGTGTATTTCAGTCAGTCTGCCTGTTCTGCTCCCCACTCTGTCTCTGGTGAATCCTCTCACCCTCCCGCACACCTCTGGCCTGCACCCCGGTTCTTGTATAAATAAATCTTAAAAAAAAAAAGAAGAAAGAATTGGTCTCTGTGACCATTCCAGAGAGACCACAGGTTGGAAACCATTGCTCAAGATCATAAAGCAGTGCTGTAAACACATCCAGACATTCTTCAATGGTATGTGGTGGAATAATCTTAAGCTTTGAGACCCCAAGCTACAGTTTGTAGAAGGACCCCTTCAGGTCCCAGAAAGAGCCTCACCAAGATTTGCTAAAATGGTGGCCTCCCACTTGGTGAGCCCATGAGCTTGCTACCTTTACCTACCAGTGTCCTTAGCCCTCACTGCTCTCTAAGGTGAAACAGTAACCTGGAACATATTCCTATCGCTGTTTTAAAGCATTTTCAACTAGAAATAAAATGAAATGTAAGGGCAAATAAAAACAAATTTAAGAATCCTTCAAACTTGGGTAGGAATGTAGTTCTCACATGTGCCTACTCTCTAGGTCCTCTGGAAGTTGAGTTTTAAGGAGATAAGCTGCGGCCATAGAGCCAAAACCTCCTTCATAAACCATGTGAGCCGAATATTAAGCAAGAGCATGTTTACCTTCAATTCCAATGCGAATGTTTTTCAGGCCCCGTTCCTTTAATACTGTTTTAGCAACATCCCGATTCTCAATATATTTGAAGAATCTATAGAGTTTGGAGCTGTAAAGAACTGGAGAAAAAACAAGAGCTGGATTAGTCATGGTGTGTGGACCCCTGTGAGGAGGAGGGGATGAACTCAAGGGATCAGATTAATGAAAGGTACACCTGACGCCAGATTAAAATCAGTCACAGGAAAGAAACCATCTGAAGAACTGTTTGTTTCAGGGTGGAGGAGGCCTTTTTGAATATGACAAAAACCGTAGAAGCCATAAAAGAATTGATACACTTGACTACATAAAATTAGAACATCTACAAACAGCCAAAACCACCATTAACAAATGAAAAAGGCAATCAGCTGGGGAAAATATTCCAACTCATAGTTAATTTTCCTTAATACATATAAAGGAGGGTGGTCACAAGAGTAAAAGACAATTCAATTTTGTAGTGGGCAAAAAAGAATTAACATGGAAAAGGAGATTAAAATGGCTCTTAAAAATTAAAAGATGTTCAGCCTCATTCAGGAAATGAGAAATGCAAATTAAAACTCAAGTGAAATGTGTTTTACCTATCAGAATGGCAAAAATAAAAGTAAAACCTGTTCTGAGATGGCCTGGGAAACCTGTCATATTGTTTTGTGAGAGGACAATTTGGCAATATCTATCAAAATTGTTAGAGCATAAAGCTTTTGATAGAGAAATTCTATTTATAGAGATAATGTATGAAAAGACTTTAAAAATATTCACAACAGCATCATTTATAATTTGTTGCTTAATGCTATCAATGAGGCTGGTTCAATCAACAATGGCATAGGTATACAGTAGAATATTATGTAGCCATAAAAAAGGAATTGCTTGGACACAAAGGAAGACTACATTAATTGCTTATGTATGCACAGTGACTGTATCTGGAATGATATAAACTGAGAAGGAAAACTGGGTAGAAGAGGTAGTGATGAGAGCAAGATTTTTCATTATATCCTTTATAATTTTTGAATTTTTAATTACCAATTCAAAAGGATTTAAACATGAAATGGAGATGACACCATTATTTATGTTAGCTCAGTACTGACTACAGTAACAGACATCAGGTGTAGCAGTGGGAGGTGCAGCAACACCCACACTGTTAGCCAGTATGAAAGCTAGACCTGAGTGTGTCGTCTGGGTAAGAGTGCACATTGTCACTGGTTTGGCTGTGGTGTGCACATTAGTTCTAGGATCCAGTGACTGCTCTGAGCAACATATTTCTTGCTGAAAGCATCTAAGCTATACAGGGGGCCCCTACTTTGGGAATATTCCTCCCCCATGGGAGGGGGGTGGTCTTCATCCCAGTCCACAGAATCCTCATCCGTGAGCACGACGATGTGGCACTCTCGCTCCCCTTTCTTGGCACAGCCCACCATGATGGGCAGGATCAGCTCTTCGAGGTAGTGATCAAACTGCTTGTGAGCACCGTCATTAGACAGTTCATGCAGTAAAGCACCTGGAGAGAAAACGCATATGAACATGTTACTCCCCAAATGTACACAGTATTAGAGTAAAAATGACTGAAGTAACAGTGTTATCATTGAAAAGATCCAACGAAATGTCCCATGTAAAAGCAAAGAGATTGTTTGGCCTCAACGTGACATTAAGCTGATTTTGTGAGAGATGTTTCACAGTCTACCACTATTCAATTTACTCATGTTTAATAATCCCTGAGGATTATAATCAATTCAGGTTTTGTTGGACATACAAAGTCAGACCATAAACATTAACTCTCTAAGAAGGCGAACACCATCATTTGGGGATGACTCTTCATAGCACTTCTTCTGAAGAAGCTCTGAATTCCAACTGGATTTAAGAGTCCCACAAAAGAGGAGTAATCTGAAGTTTGGCAAAAGAAAGGAATTTGCTCTAAGTGTGTACTAGGTCCAGTAGAGAAACCGAAAGTCCAGAAAACTTCATGGAATATGCGAGGAAATACTAAGACTTTAAAGAATAATCCTTTAATAATTTTAAACCTCAGTAGCAAGAGCATGGACTTTGAGACATCAGTTCTAATCTTAGCTTTAATGCTCAGAGCTTTGAACAAGCTAATTTGATGAGATTATCACCCATCTTTCAGAGTTAAGTGTTATAAGACTTAAACAAGTTCACATGCATACAACACTTAGTAAACACTAATAATAATGATAAAAGTAATTACAGACATAACTTGCTTTACTGTGCTGCACACATACTGCAGGTTTGTGGCAATCCTGTGCCAAGCAAGTATCAGGCTCATTTTCTCAAGAGTATGTGCTCACTTTGTGGCTCTGTGTCACATTTAATAATTATTATTATTACTATTTTTTTACACATAATGGTATTGCACACTGAATAGACTACAGTATGGTGTAAACATAACTTTTATGGCATTGGGAATCGAGAACCTCATGTGACTTGCTTTATTGGGATGTTTGTTTTATTGCAGCGGTGTGGAACTGAACCCACAGTGTCTCTGAGGCGGATCTATCTAAGAACCCAGCCAATTTATGCTGTCTGACTTCATTAGTAAACCATTTTTCTTGTATCTGACGATCAGTATCCTTATTTGTTAGAGTTAAGATACCAAGGTCCCCAGAGGGGAAGCAATTAGCTTGGTGACTCATGGGTCAGGCAAAATTAGAACCCACTACATGTTCTCCTTTGTTTACTTCCTCACAGTGCTTTGAAGCGAGAGAGAGTAGGTGTATTATGTCTCTGCCCTGCAGAGGAATTTCAACGTACCACTGAAACTACCTCTGCCTGGTAATAAAAAAATATCAGTTAATTCCAAGCAAACTCGAAGTTCAGCTGCTCCTGTACTTACTCAGATCTTGACACCGGATAGTGTTGAAGTCAAAGTTAATGCAGAGGTAATCGCATGTATCTCTGAGGTCAGGGATAGAGATGCCATCAGGACAATTGATGATACCAGTTTTGTAATAATCCTATAAACAGATTAGGAAGACGAAATGTAGCAGAGAATATGATAAAAAAAAAATACCTCTTCAACCCCCTCTTTCTTTCTGGTTCCGTTAAAGTGATGCGTTTCTAGGACTATCACCAAGTGGGTTGATTCATTGGATGGCAAAGTGGCTCCTGGTTATGCTGACACATTTAATCACAATCTGATACCTGACTGACTTCATGTAAGCAGGAAGGACTTATCAGCCACATTCAGAAATAAAGAGGGAAAGGCAGCAAATGGAAACTAGAGACTCTACTTCAGCACATAGTTCGATGGCACACTCGAGGCAAGTGACTACGCATGCCCCTGGGAAAGGGATAGAACAAAAAGGCTACTACACACCAGCACCGTTCGAAATACAGTTGCACTGATTCCTTCGGCAATCTCATACTCTCCCTTCTCATTGGGCCTTGTGAAGTTATACTCTCTTCCTGGTCCAAACATCCTGAAAGATAACCAGGCAACAACATTATCATCTCCAGCAGGATTCTTCACAGATGAGATTTCTCTGTTCTGCATTCCATTCTGGAAGACTCCGTTCTCTCTCATAGTATAAGTTAAAAACACAGTATTAAGAGTCAGCCCCTAAAAAAATCTGTTCAAGACTTAGGAAATTTTCAGACAGGAAAAGACAACAACTGCTTTTGGCATTTGAATGCAAAAAGGAATGAGGCAGCAAGTCTTCAGGATTCCCGGTAGTTAGTGTGGGTGATAGCAAACGAAGTAAAAACCACACCTGCAAGCTGGACCTCTGGGAAAATCTCTGGAATGTGTGAGGGCTGCCTCTCAAGCCCTTCCCCCTGCCCAGGAGTCAGAAGGCAACTCAGGAAGACAGTGTGTCTCATGCCCCTGACCTTTCCTATTCCTTCCCCTTGTCTATCAGCAGTAGCAGGTAGATATGTTAATGCTTTCCCTTTCCTAATGCATTTTAATTGTGGGCTCTAGAAAAAAGGTCCTTTATTAAAAAAAAAGTTTTATTTATGCATGCATACAAGAACTGGGGTGTAGGCCAGAGGTGCTGGGGCGTGAGAGGATTCACCAGAGACAGAGTGGGGAACAGAACAGGTGGATCCACTGAAATACACTGCTGAGGGGAGCAGTGGGCGAGACAGGAGAGGTCTGCTGTGCCATGTGGGTCAGCTCCCTGGCTGGGGATCGAACTTGTGCTGCAGTGGCTGGCGAAAGCTTGATAGCACTGAGACTTTAACCCCTGCATCACCAGGAGGCCCTGGAAAAAAGATCTTTAATTCAAGGAGTAACTCTAATGATGGGCATTTCAGGTCAAGTAGAAAGAAGGGTAAGTTACTAGGTTGATTAGCAGTTTGACATAGTTCAGAGAGGTACCTGCTCTGGGTCATGGGAGCACAAGGTAGAGGTGTTGCTTTCCTTACTCATCCCTTCCCAACCTTCCTCCCCTTTCTCAGATCCCTCCCAGTGAAACTGGCTCATGACTTGTTATTACCGTGTGTGTGTGTGTGTGTGTGTGTGTGTGTGTGTGTGTTTGTGTGTGTATGAGAGAGAAAAAGAGAGAGAAAATGAATGTCATGGGATAGGAAGCCAGCACAAAGGCCAAGGTAGGCAACTGGTATCTTCAGCCAGCCTGAATTCCCAATGGGAATTCACTGCTATTTCCTTCCTTATTCTGCTGGGAACCCTGTTTAACTCTTCACAACTGGTATCCTCTACCCTGCATTAGCTGCTTCTTAAAGGTCTGAAAGACTTCATACCACATGCTTTCCAAATCACTGCACCATTCATAAGAAATCCATCCTGATAAAAGTAGTCTTCAAAAATTGCTGACATTTTTCTGGAATGTTCTGGCTGAAGTCAAGATAGCTATTAATGAAAACAGTGGGCAAAAATGCCACAAATACGCCCCCCAACACACACATCTATCATTGGCAAGACCTAAATAAGCTCAGTTGTTTATCTGTAGTGGCATGGATTTATATTAATCCATTCAGTCTCTCAGCTTGTTTCTTTTGTGATGGATGGTCCCATTGGTTAGTTCAGTGACTAAGCTAATGAATACTGTATGTAGCCAAAACACAGAGCAAACTTACTCAAGTCTCAGAATTTGTGACCCTGGCCAACAGTTGGTTTCTGTATCTAAAAATATCTAGATAAAGAATCAAACTCTCCTCTTCATGGGGAAACCTACCACTAGAGTCAAAGAACCAGTGTTACCCAAGAATCTACTGCCCAGAAAACGCCTGCCTTTCTTCCCTTGATAGGTCCGGGGGGCAATAATGGTGGTGATACTGAGAACCAAAAGTCCAGTTCAATCAAATATAGGACTAGTCTGGAAAATGTTTTATCGTTCTGGTTTAATCTTAATTCAGATCTGAGAACTATATTGTTTTGCTTATGGTTAAAAATGGTCTAGCATGAGTTTATAATGTTTACGTTCAAATATACACACACTTGAGGTAGATTCACTTTGGCTTAGAGTTCAGTGAATTAATGTGATTCATTCTGATTTCTAATTCAGTTCAAAGCCCTGAGTGAGGTTAGATCCTTAAATAAAACAACATCTACTTCCAAGTAGTTAAAACCCTCAGTCAAATGTGTGTCTGTATACACATAAACATTAGTAACATTATTTTACTCTTATCCAACTTGCTCTTCCTCATGTTAAGGGCTGTGGTGGGCTAGAAAGAGGGTCACTGGCTCCAAAGTTTCCTGGGTAGTGCTTCTCCTGAGCAGGCACTTTTCATATCCTAAACTCTTCTAGAGACAGAAGAACATCAAAGGAGGAGATTTCTGTCTGATGAAGCAGCCCAGATAACATGAAGAATAGAGTGCAATTATGAAACAAAAAAACAGTCAGATAGGGCCTCCCTGGTGGTGCAGCAGTTGAGCGCTGGGTTGCGAAGCTACCCACAGCCTCTGCAGCACCGGTTCGATCCCCAGCCACCAGGTGAGGGTCCCACATGGCGCGCAGACCTCTTCTGCCGCCCGCTGCTCCCCTCAGTAGTGTACTTCGTCAGTCTGCCTGTCCTGCTCCCTGCTCTGGCTCTGGGTAATTCTCTCACCCTCCTGTGTTTCTGACTGTACCCAAGTGCTTGTATAAATAAACAAATCATTAAAAAAAAAAAAAAAAAAAAAAAAAACAAACAAAACAAAAAACAGCCAGATCTAATCAATTTCAGAAAACCTGAAAAGTGAGGGAGGCATTAGGAAGAGCACAGCATCTATTGCCAAGCACAACTAGCAACAGAGGGCAGGCTTTTTAGTAAAATGGCTTTGTTTTTGTGTCCTGTGGAAGTTGCCTAATTCATTTTTTTCCAAGGGAAAATATGTTACTTAGCGCTCACCTTCACCTTATCTCAGTACCTCTGATCTGTGGAACTCAGAAAACATTACTTTTGTGAAGTTGTACAAATTGTGGATAAAAGAAATTAAGTAGCTGACTTCTATTTTACAGTCAGTTTATAGAGATTTAGGGGGTGAGATTTAGTGGGCTACTTTCCGTAGTTCTGATTGTGCTTCCTTTTAGGGGGCCCATTCCACAACACTGGCTGTGTAATAAAGTATGTACTCTCCCCCCAAAAAAAATCAACATCAGGTTTTACCAGGTTGGCTTGCCTGTCTCACAATAAGATAGAAAAATAAGTAATAAGCCTTTAATTCTCACATCTAATGCAAGATAGATAGCAGGTCTTTTTATTCAGAGAACACAGTGAATTTGAAAGGAAATCATCATCAATTACCTTCCCAACATGGTATCTGGGTGAGCAGTGAAAATTTGCGGATTCACAACAAAACGTGTGCCATCTACAAGAAGTGTCACTTTCTCTGGTGCCTGGGAATGAAGGCCACTGCCAAAGCCCACAGTGCTGTTTCCAAATCGTTCTGGAGCAATAAAGGGTTCATGGTTCCGTTTATTCCCACTCTGGAAGCAAGAGCCTTTGAAGTCTTCAGGAAGTGGCATTATGTGAGGGAACTGAAGATTTGCTGGCTGGGAGGTGTAGTCAAGTGAAAGGTCTAAAAGATCACAAAGACAAAAATAACTTGACAGCAAAAAGCATTTGGGGGAAAATAAGTTCTGTGATTGTTAAAAAAAACACACTAAATAAGCAAAAAGCCAAATTTAGGTGTTTGCAGGCAAAAACTCCTGTCTAGAGGAATGAAAAAAAATTAAAACTTAAGATTCATTAAAGCCCCTTGAGATTTTTCCCTATGTTTACATTTTGGAATGCCTATACTTAAAATGATTTCTAAATTTTAAGTAAATTTACACATATGGTAAAAAAACAAACACTAGAGAAGAATTTCTGTAGAAAACCATCAATCTCCTGTCAGACCCTATTGCTTCCTCTAGTCTTGTTTCACAGAGATGATTACTTTTTTTTTTCCCCTGCTTTTATCTCTAAATAATACTTATTGCCTGTGTTTTATTTCAGAAAATTAATACTTCTGTGAGTCAATTATTTATGTCCACATTCTTTAAAAAATGTCTTTAACTTTTATTTTCCAGAAAGGATGATGGTAGTCTCTAATAGTCCAATGAATCCCTTTAACTAGAAATTCATAGACAAATGCATTTTCTCTACGCACAAAAGAATCCTAATAACCTCATCTATTCATTCAAACAGGCAGGTCTTGCTCCCAGTGGCCATGGATTAGGATTCATTCATGGAATCTTAGTTTTTGTTCTAATTCCACCAGAGAGGTAATTTCTTCAAGTGATTTAGTTTTTTTCTAAACCTATTTTAACATCAAGGAAATGGGAATAAATGTTCACTCTGTCAACCTCACATAACAGTTTTGACTGTCAACTGAAACACAGTATATGAGAGTACTTAAAAACGTACACTGCTGTATTATGCAAAACAGGCTTAAAAGTCGGGATGTAATATATAAGGGGGAACTATTTACAACAGAATTACCAGAGGATTCAAAAATGGCCAGTTCTAATATATTTTAATATGAAAAACGTTTTTAGTGAAAAATTTCAAACATACTGAGGCACAGAATTACTACAACATGTATATACCATCATCTTTGGCAAGCTTAGTTTTAACATTTTTCTACATTTTCTTCAAACCATTTTGGAAAGAAATGTTGTAGATACAACTGAATGTCTTGTTCCCACCCCACATGTAATTTACATTAAAAATTTTTTTTAAATTGAAGTAACACTGTAAATTTATATACTCATGAACATAATTACTGCCTGTCCTAAACCAAATAGACTGGTACTAGCGTATACTCAATTCCCTCCACTGCTTCTAGAAAAAAGGAAACCAAAATCTAGAGCAAAAGCCTAGAGTTCACAGCTTCTGATAAATTTCAGTGTGTCCCTGTGTTTACATACCAAGAGATAATTTCCATATAATTCACAGGCAAGTTTGTAGCAAGAAACTCTTTTATTGCCAAAACAGGTTTTTACACTCCAAGTGCTGTTTTTAAATGAAAGCAGGTAACTAAATTAACTAATCAGTTCTTAACAGTTTTTTTCCCAGCAGTGAAAGTCATTAGAGTGGGTTGACTCCTGGAGGGTGCCCTTCTTAAATGGATGAGCAGAAAAAGCAGCTCATTGCACAAATTCTCCCTAATGGTGTACGCTAAGATGGCAGTCACACCCTGCTTTTCTATTTGTTGAAATATATAAATTAACATCATTGCCTAGTCAGAAAGATAGGTTCAAATCCCAGTCCTACAACTCCTAGTAGTATGAACCTGCGCAAGTTACCTAAGCTTTCCAAACCTTAGTTTCGATATCTATAAAAGCAGAATAATAGTTCTTGTGAAGATTAATCTTAGCAAGGATTGGCAAACTTTCTATAAAAGCACCTATTTTGGGCTTTGTGCATTAGTCTCTGTCACTGTAGCAAAAAATGATGGCTGTATTTCAATCCTCTGATTAAAAAAAATGTGAAGTTCCTAGCACAGTGAGTGCTCAATAAAAATTCCAATTGCCACCACTGTTTATTACTAGAATTCTTATTACATTATTATTAAGTGAACCTAACAGCTTATCAAGAAGTTTCAGGGCCTCCCGGGTGGCGCAGTGGTTGAGTGCTGGGTTGCGAAGCTGCCCTCAGCCTCTTCAGAGATGGTTCCATCCCTGGCCGCCAGGCAAGGGTCCCACATGGCGCGCAGACCTCTCCTGCTGCCCGCTGCTCCCCTCAGCAGTGTACTTCGTCACTCTGCCCGCTCTGCTCCCCACTCTGGCTCTGGTGAATCCTCTCACCCTCCCGCGCTTCTGACTGTACCCAGTGCTTGTATAAATAAATAAATCTTTAAAAAAAAAAAAAAAGTTTCATATCCATTAACTTAACAAATTTCTAGCCTTGTGAAATAGGAAGAATATTAATATCTCTGTTTTCCAGATTAAGAAAGCAGGGCTCAAAAGACTACAGCCGATTAGTGACAGAGCTAGAATTTGAATCTGTCTTCCCACTCTAAGCCTATGGTTATTTTTCTTAAACTATTTTGCTAAGTTAGATGTGCTGTAAGTAGAGACTGTGAAGGCCAGCTTTATGACTCTGACATGCAAGCTAAGCCAATTAACTGGGTACTTTATTTAGACTAAGAACATCTAGGCTCTCTGGGTGGAGTGGGCCCCTCTAAATTAAGTCAAGATCTAATCGCCTTACCATCACTCCTGGAACCTAGAGGATAACTAAGATTTTGAAGACCAGAAGAAACCAGGCTATTTGCTTCTTTTTCTTGGGCTGCAGCCGAGTTTTCATCCATGAGGCAGCTGGCCTCCTGGCGCAACAGCCTGTCACTCTCACCACCACAGTGAACATTCATCCTCGAACTCTGTCTCCTGAACTGTCCGCTGGATTAGAGAGAAATCCTGGAAGACAGGAAATACGCATGATTTAGAACTCTCTCTAAAGCAGTTCCCAAGGACTTTCATGGTATGAAATCCAAAGTAGAGAACTAACACGGCTCTCATTCTTGTTCTGAGGAGAAATGATATCTCAAACATTTGTGATTTTACATTGAGGAATTACGCTGATTCAAACAGCCTTTACCAAAGCACTGAAAATGTTAATACACTTGCTATTAGGGAATAATTTTAAGCTTTATCCATAAGCAAACATCAAATCCACTGACTTTAGTCATATTCACGATCAATTCTACACATAAAATGGTAGTACTATAACTTGGTAATTTTTATACCATAGAGACACTAAGTAGAGAAAGAAGAGTCCAACTGGTCAGTTAAAGAAAATCTGTCCACATATGTTTTAAAATTGAGACATATACTCCTGCAACTATTAAGCACCAGAAGTGAAGAAATAAAACAAAACAAAACAATCACAACCGTAATGCTAGTGTGAGAAATGAAAATAGAAGTCACCTGTGCTTTAAAAAAAAAAAAAACAGGCAAAATTTGCCTGCTAATGCTTAAGTTCTGGTCTGTAAGTCTTCTCTCACTTTCTGTATCAGCTTCCAACCCCCACCTCAAAATCACACCAAGATACCACTGACTATAAGACTGTCTCTTCCCCCAGCAGCACACAATCATCATGAACAACACACACTGAGTGGCTGCCAGTCTGCAAAGCATGATTAGGAGAGAAGGGCCACCCAGGAGGGGGTCATACCTTTCTTCCAGGTAATCACACCTAGCAGACTCTCCATCTATGGGGGCTGCCCAACTACTGGAAACATTCCTGAAGTTCACCCTACTTAGCACTCACACAGCTTGTGCTGTGCAGATTTCCACTTGGTGTTCTGGTGGAAGAATCATCTTACATCATCAACAATTGTTACGTATATGATTGCATGCTAACACCATTTTAGGAAGTGAGGTCACGGAAGACAGTGATTTACTGGCACCAACAAACATTAGTGACTAAATTTTGAATCCCTCATAATCTGTATTAATACATTTTTAAGCAAATGGATTGGTTAGTCCCTGTCCCTGTTTTAATTTAGGTGAAATAGGGAAATGCACTTTGAAAAGATGGGCCAATACATGTACCTGAAGACATTTTAAAGAAGTACTTTCAGCTGATGAAATCTTTTATTTTCAGGCAGTGACTCTTAGAATAATATAAGACAAACTGAGGGACTAAAGTGAATGTTCTGATAGAAAACTTGATAGCTGGACACAGCTTTTTCAGGATTACTCTTTATTAAAGAAAAAACCATATTTACACCAAAAATCACTTAAAATTGACACCCAGCAATTAGTAAAGCCAAATACAGTCACCACCGCCCTCAAGTGGTCAAAATCAAGAGTAGTGAACGGGCTACAGAAGGCTCATGGAACTGGAAAGAGCACCACTGACACTGGAACATTAAGAGAAGCTCTGTTTTAGCCTCACCTGATTCTGAATGATAATGTTTCACTCATTAGCTGCTGCTTTCAACTCTTCTCTAGCTGCTCAAGTACCAAGTTCAAACCTCTCTTTGTTGCTCTCCAAAAGATCTCTTGGACAAAAAAACAAGCTTGAATAGGCCTATCTCTTGAGAATTTGTAAAGATTAGATTGTTCGGATAAATTACTCCTTATAATAAGCAATCATTTATCCTTTAAAATAATGAATAATTTCATTATAATGGGCTATAATGAAAATAGTTTCTTTCTAGCCTATATAGTATCAGAGCTCAAAACCCAGTCCAACTTGTATACAATGAATCAATAAATAGATCTATGGAACTTAGCAGGGTAGCTACCTCCAATGAGGGAATTTAATAGGCATTTCATTTTTATTTATTTACTTTTTATAATAACTAATAGAGTAATTCCCTTCTAAAAAATTCAAACTTAACAGATAAGGCAAAGAAGGACCTGTTGATCACCACTTCTAATCTCAGTAACTCTTCCAAGTAACTATCACTACTTGTTTGTTATGACTCCTCTCAGACTTGACAAAAATGCATTTATACTGTACAGGTGTACTGGTAAAAGCATGTAGTTTTTAAAGAAAATATAAACTTTGTACTACATACATCCTTCTGATTCTGCAATGTTTTTCTAAATTAATGTTCTAGAGATCCATCCATGTTGAAAGATTGAAACCTAGTTCATTCCTTTTTAACTGCTCTATAGTCTATGATTCCACTCTCCTATCTATGAATATTTAAGTTTCTAATTTGACTATTACAAACAATGATTCAATGAATAAGATCTGACCTTACTGTGAAATTAACTCCAAGAGAGGATGTGGTTTATAGTTGGTTTCAGAACTTTGTTTTTCAAGAAACTATTTCGAGGTTAATTCTTTTTTTTTTTTTTTTTTTTAATAATTGAGCTCAATCTTTATTTGTTTATTTTGTGTTAAAATATATGGACACTGTAAGTTATACATCAGGCTTACCACCCTCCACCCCAGGAACTGATTCCTGTTTGCACATTGATGGCACATATGATTATTGTAAATACTAGCTTCTCCCAGCAAAATAAAAGCATCTCAAGATTAATTCTTAATGGCATACTTTAATCACTTAATCCAATATTTCCCAAAGTCCGCTATACATTAATTCCTCTATAACCTTAGAATGTTAGAATAAAATTGACCTATGAAACCTAAGAAGTAAACTGACTGACACTGAATTCTTCAACTTACACCTGAGCAGTTTCAACCTAAAGGTAACTCCCCTTCAGTATGGATGTTTCATTCATTTGAATGTGTATCTTTCATTGCCTACCATGGTTCAATTCTGTAACCATCCCCCAAATGAATCTTGGTCCTCAGAACAGATCTAAGAAAAAAAAAAAAAGAAAGAAATAAGCAAAGCACTTTAAAAATATAGTTCTATATAATCATAAAACTATTTTTGGTAAACACAGTCCTAAAAGTCACAGCAATTACAATAGTAAGAACGAAAGGATCATGACACACCTCACTAACTAAAGAGATGGCTTCAGAAAAGAAATGACTTAGAAATAGAACTGAGACCGTAGAGCTGTGAAGAAAAAAAAAAAAAAAAAAATCCTGCAAGCCAGTTCAAGCTTCACCTTCATAGTATGTGAAAGCATTTTTATAACAACACTCTGAAGAGCATTATAAATATGTATTTTATTATTTCACCGGCCTCCCATGAAGGTCTGTATTTTGTTAAGTCTTGATTTTGCTGATTTGGAACAGCAAAACCATGCAGCATCATAATCTCCTTATGTTGGAAATTTTTGTACAAGCTTTGATAGTGGAATTATCTCCACATATTCCTTGCACCTGAAAAAGGGGACATACTGATTTCTCCCTACAACATAATCAACCAAAGTAACTTCTAGGTAGTAAATCTATTTTCTACCTACTTGTGTTTTAACCAATTATTTCTGAAGAAAACAAGGTATTTACATGGATCACCATTCTATTAAATATCTTGCCATTGAACTACTCAGGTTTTAAAAACTAGTAGGAACGGGGTCGAGGGCAATCAAACTTAACATGAATGTATCTCAAAAGCATAGTGCTTTCAAACTTCTTAGTGGTACAAGGGTATGATCTTTTTTTTTTTTATTTATTTATGCATACAAGAGCTGGGGTACAGGCCAGAGGTGTGGGGGGGTGAGAGGATTCACCAGAGACAGAGGGGAACAGAACAGGCAGATTAACTGAAATACACTGCTGCGGGGAACAACAGGCAAGTCAGGAGAGGTCTGCTGCACCACGTGGATAGCTCCCTCACCGGGGATCAAACCCATGCACCAGTGGCTGTGGATAGCTCCACAGGTTGCGTCTTAATCCCTTGTATCACCAGGGAGGCCCAGGGCATGATCTTTTAAAAAGGCAGTATCCTCTCATATGTCAGGACCTTGTCTCCAGTGTGTATAAGAGCTAAGTGGTGAGGATGGCAGACAATTTGGTAAATCAGTCTACCTTCATCTATTGATATATTCTGTAATTAAATTTAGAAAGTAATTACATCTTTGCTAAACTTTCATTTCAAATAAATCCTAACCCTTTCAGTATGTTCTCAGGAACATACTGCAGTGAAAACTGCTACATTTCTTTCACTATTTAATTGCCTATTGTTGACTTTGGTCTAGTTCCATTATGCTTTTTCTCTGTGTACAATAATGAGAATTCTGATAATGTTTTTTATTAAACATAAATAGGTTTTGTTTTACATATGCTCTCTGGTGACAGAAGGATTTCTGAGACTAAGGTTAAAGGGGACGAAAGTGGTGGTGGTGGGGGAGGGACAACAGAGATGACAGGTACACAATATAAAATGTCTATAGGATCACCTGCTAGGCAATCATTAACTGATAGCTAAGAGCCCGCCACCTTCAAAATATACTCTCAACATATTTTCAAAACCAACCCCATTGCAGCTGTTGTGTCATGGTTCTATTCACTCCTCTTACATGTACAACCCCCCTCCAATCTCAGGAGAAAAATCTGTCTTCTCACTATTTAAGGCTTTCTGGTTTTTCCTTTTCTAGATTATTACTTAAATGTTGAATAAGACCACTACATTTTAAGCCTATATAAACTCTTCTTTTTTTTTTTAAGATTTATTTTTATTTGTGCCTCCCCAGTGGCACAGGCGGTTGAGCACAGGCTGTGAAGCTGTCCGCAGCCTCTGCCGGTTCAATCCCAGCCTGCTGCGGCGATGCCCACATGGTGAGGCAGACCTCTCCTGTCTTGCCTGCTGCTCCCTTCAGCAATGTATTTTGTCAGTTTGCCTGTTCTGTTACCCGCTCTGTCTCTGGTGAATCCTCTCACCCTCCTGCACATCTGGCCTGTGCCCCCGTTCTTGTATAAATAAATAAATCTTTTTTAAAAATATTTATTTTTATTTATTTATGCATACAAGAACTGGGGTATACACCAGAGGTGGGGGGGGGGCAGGGGAGAGGATTCACCAGAGACAGAGTGGGGAGCAGAACAGTCGAGATAGGAGAGGTCTGCTGTACCACGTGGGTAAGCTCCCTGGCCAGGATAGAACTCAGGCAGAACTCATGCCACAGTGGCTGGCAACTGCTTCATAGCACTGAGACTTTAACCCCTGCCAGGGAGGCCCCATACAAATTAATCTTAACAGCTCTAACTCTCAGAGTTTTCCTGTATGTCCCCAAACCTACAATAATTTAGCTATCAAATCAGCAAAGAAAGAGACCCTTATTAGTAGGGTATTTCCTCTAGGTGCTCCCTTCCCATGTACTTGTATTCTGGTGAGATATGAAGCTCCTAAGAGATCCTGGAACACGTCTCTCCCCACCCCCGCAATATCTTCTAACTTTGATTACTGAGGCTCTGGGCAGGTTCTTAGTCTCTCTGTTGCAACTTCTTTCCTTACAAAAGAGTGTAATAACCATACAAGGTTGATGATATAAGGAATTAAATGAGGTAACACCTTTAAAGTGTATAGTACAAAAAACCTCAAATAGCCAAAGTTCTCCTGACCAAAAAGGAGAATGGAGGTATCACACTCCCAGACTTCAAACTATACTGCAAAGCCATAATAATTAAAACTGTATGGCACTTAAAAAAAAAAACAAACAAAACAACAATCTGTATGGCACTAGAACAAAAACAGACACACAGACCAATGGAATTGAATAGAAAACCTAGAAATAAACCCACATATTTATGGACAACTAATCTTTGACAAGGGTGCAAAGAATATGCAATGGAATAAGGACAGTTTGTTCAATAAATGGTGCTGGGAAAACTGGACTGCTACATGCAAAAAAATGAAGCTAGACTACTACTTTACACCATACACAAATACCAACTCAAAATCGATAAAAGACTCAAAAAAAGATAAAATAAGATCTGAAACTGTAAAATATATATAAGAAAATACAGACAAAACACTACATGACATACATCTCAGTAACATCTTTAAAGACGCATCCCCCCAAAGCAAAGAAAGTAAAGGAAAAGATGAACAGCTGGGACTACATTAAATTAAAAAGCTTCTGTACAGCAAAAGAGACATTAACCAAAACAAAGAGACAATCTACTGACTGGGAAAAAAATTTTGCACACAAGTGCATAGTACAATGCCCACACTACTGATAAGGGACTGATCACAAAGATCTACAAAGAGCTCATAGGACTCAACAAGTAAATAATCCAGACAAAAAATGGGCAGAAAAGCTAAAAAGACACTTCTCCAAAGAGGAAATGCAAATGGTCAACAGGTATATGAAAAAATATTCAACATCACTTGTAATCAGGAAAATGCAAATCAAAACCACAATGAGATACCACCTTTCACCAGCGAGAACGGCACATATTTAAAAAAACAGTAAAGAACAAATGTTGGCAAGGATGTAGAGAAAAAGAAACTCTCCTACACTGCTGATGGGAATGCAAATTGGTCCAATCACTATGGAAAGCTGTGTGGAGACTCCTCAAACTACTGAAAATGGAGCTTCCATATGACCCAGAAATTCTACTCCTAGGAATCAACCCAAAGGACACAAAAACATTAATTCAAAATGTTTATTGCAGCACTATTTATAAAAGGCAAAACTTGGAAACAACCCAAATACCCCAAAATAGATAACTGGATCAAGAAGATGTGGTATATATAAACAATGGAATACCATTCAGCAATCAAAAGATAAACTCATGCCATTTGCAGCAACATGGATGGAGCTGGAAGGGATTATGCTCAGTGAAATAAGCCAGAAGGAAAAAGAAAAATATTAGATGGTTTTATTTATAGGAGGAATGTAGGAGAACCAAATAAGGGACCAGGAAAAAAAAATTATAATAAATTAAAAAACAAAATTAACAGGCCACGATAAAACAGAGACATTGCAGGGGAGGGAGAGGGATCAAAACAGGTAAAGGAATGTGTTCTTACACAAGGGACTTTGGTGATGGTGCATGGGTGAATTGGTGGTGGGAATTTTGTGGGGACTACACCTGAGAAGAGAAAGCATGCACTGTACAAAAAGGAAGAATGATGTAAAAATACATATAAAAATTAAATTAAAAATATTAAGTGCATAGTATAATGCCCAGAACAAAGAACCCAATAAATATTGGTGGTTGTCATTCCTACACTATAGAATCTACAAAAAACTTTACAAGGGGCCTCCCTGGTGACGCAAGGGATTAAGCACAGCACTATGAAGCAATCCGCTGCCTCTGTAGCACGAGTTCGATCCCCAGCCGGCCAGGGAGCAACCCACATGGCGAAGCAGACCTCTCCTGTCTAGCCTGTTGCTCCCCTCAGCAGCATGTTTCAGTCAGTCTGCCTGTTCTGTACCCCACTGTCTCTGGTGATCCTCTCACCCCAGGCATCTCTGGCCTGTACCCCAGCTCTTGTATGTATAAATAAATAAATCTTTAAAAAAAAAAAAAAACTTTACCAAACTAATCTTATTTGATACTGAAACAACCCCAGGGGAGATACTTCAACTATTCTTACTTTACTGATGAAGAAAAAAAAAAAAAATCAATTGTTTGAGGAGGTTAGTAAAAAGCCCCAAATCACAACTGTAGCTAAGAGGCAAAAAGATTCCAAACCCAGGTCCAAGAATTCCCGTATTTATTCTACCCAAATACACTGCTTCCCCCAAACCATCTTGCCTTCCCTGATTCTGGCAGTTTTAATTCCTCTGTTTGTCAGAAATGAAACATTTTCGGAGTCACTGCCGCTGCAGTTCTTATCAAGTAGGAGTGATGGTAGTAGTGCATTATAAATAAAATTAGCATTTAAGTGTTTTACTGCTTACAAAAGCAACATGTAAAAATATAAATACTTTAAAAATCAATTAGGTTGTGGTGAAA